CGCGTCCCTTCTGTTTTTTGGACCCTGACCCCGCTGATCTGCGTGAGGGGTGCCACCGAACTTCAGGAATGTGGCAAATCCCATGTGTTTTTGGACCCTGACATTGCCGATCTGCGTGAGGGGTGATACCGAATTTGAGAAATGTGGCAAATCCTTTGCGCTTTTGGACCCTGACCCCGCCGGTCTGCGTGAGGGGTGCCAGCGAATTTCAGAAATGTTGCAAATCCCTTGTGTTTTTGGACCCTGACCCCGCCGATTTGCGTGAGGGGTGCCGCCGAGTTTCAGAAATGTGGCACGTTCCTTATGTTTTAAGACCTTGACCCCGCCGATCTGCGTGAGGGGTGCCACCGAATTTCAGAAATGTGGCACATCCTTTCTGTTTTTGGACCCTGACCCCGCCGATCTGCGTGAGGGGTGCCACTGAAGTTTAAACATGTGGCAAATCCTTTGTGTCTTTGGACCCTGACCCTGCGGATCTGTGTGAGGGGTGTCAATTTTCACCCACCCAGAAATTCTGAGAACCCTCCCAGGGCGTGGTAGTTCTGCTGGTTTGGGCTCCCCCCCCCTCGCGCGTTCATCAACAAGGAACAGTGAGCAGCAAGAAGCAGAACTGTAACAGTGGAAACTGGAAGCTGCAACTGGTACAGGGAGCAGCACATTCCCAGCCTACAGCCTGGTGGCCCCGCAAGGGGGCGGGCCGGCGGATATGATTGCATTGTTTTTGCCGAGTCTGCACGGGGTTCCCGTGCTCTTCGCACAGACATGTTGTCCCATGGCGTCGGAGATCTCTTGCGCTTTGGCGCACCTCGTATTTCCCCTGCCCCTTTCCTCGTCACCCTCAATCTGCCCCCTAACGATCTGCTTTGCTTCACCGCGGGCGTAGAGAAAGTTTCGACCCCCCAGCTGCACCCACGATGGTGCGCGGGCCTGGCCTGGCCTTTCCCGCCCCTCTCTCCCCCCCCACTGCCTCCCCCAACCCTTCCGTCGCACGCGCGCCCCGACGAGTTCATTGCTCGACTTCTCTTGTTCCCTCGTTACCCGCGGCCTCTATCGTCGAGCGGTCCAGACGATCTGGCTCTTTTCCGATCAGCAGTCGCGCTTCTCTGAGTTCTACCTCTAGGTCGGGCATGTCCCCCTACAGGGGGATTCTGGACGGAAAATGCAACAAACATGCCCACACAATTTTCGAACAACCAAACATGTTCAAAACTTCGTCCCCATATTTTTTGGACTATTCTTGAATATCCCCCCTGTGGAGGGACAGGCCCGACTTACTTCTCACTGTAGACTCCCCCCTCCTCTCCCCGCGCCCGCGCGGGACAACGCCGCGGCGGTCTCCCGCGAATGCTGGGGGGACCCGCTCGCACGCGCCTGCCGGATGCTTGAGAGAGACCAGGAGGCCAAGCGTGAAAGACAGCCCAGACAAGTGGCGCCAAGGGCACCAGACATGATCGCGTCGTTAAAACATTACAGGACGGCAAGTTTTTCATAATTTTCGGCCCCCAGAGGCCCTCGCCGGGCCTCGGGACCGTCAAAAAGCGACTCAGGATGAAGAACCGGTGCTGGGGAAGGGGTCCGGACTTCCGGGGACGCCTCGCTGAACAAAATGAGGACGTCGCATTTCTGGGTTTTTTGTTTAGCATGTGCAAGAAGACCTTCAGGGTAGCCGAGTAAGGCCCAGAAGCGGTGGAAAACCATTCCCAGGCGCTCATGCTGGCTCCCGCGTGGCCCACGCCGCCCCCCAGGCGCTCCCCGACGGCTTCCATACGGTTTCCGTGCGCTCCCCGATAGGGCCCCAAGAGGCACAATTCGTGTGCTTCCTACAAGAAGGAGGTGGAGGAGCCCGAGATGCGAGGCGGTGCGGGAGTAGTGATGATCGTGATCGTGATGTCGACGACGACGGCGATGACGACGATGACCATGAGGAGGATGACGACGATGATGGTGTTGGTGATGAGGACGATGATGTTGATGGCGATGATAATGACTATGAGGATGATAACGATGATGATCATCATCATTATGCTGATGATGATGATGATGATGATGATGATGATGATGATGATGATGATGATCTGGTGGTGATGATGATGATGATGATGATGTTGGGGATGCTGATGATGGTGATGCTAATGATGATGCTGCTGCTGATGATGATGCTAATGCTATTGCCAATCATGCTGATGCGATTTTGAAGTTGACGGTGGTAATGATGATGATAATGCTTTCAATGATGATGACGACAATGATGATGGTGACGGTATGACTACGCATACGATTGTGTAGATGATGCGGCCGATGATGATATACATGTTGACGACAGTGATGACGATGATGCCGCCGCCGAAGATGATGTTGTTGATGATGGTGATGCTGAGGAGGAAGACGAGTTGGAGAAGCATGAGAGGTAGGAGGAAGGGGAGCCAAACCGAAGACACAATGAGCTTTCGCTCCATGCTTGCGCAGCGCAGACTGGAGCTGGAGCAGGAGCAGGAGCAACAGGAGGATGAGGAGGAGGAAGATTGTTTCTGATTGTGCTGATGATGCTGTTGTTGGTGATGGTGATGAGGCTGATGATGATGCTGATGCTGCTGATGACGATGATGATGATGACGACAATGACGATGATGGTGATGATGATGATCATGATTCTAAGGATGCTGATGCGCTGCTGAAGTTGACGATGATGATGCTGATGATGCTGATGCTGCTGATGATACTGCTGATGAGGATGCTGCTGATGATGGTGCTGTTGATGATGAAGATGGTGATGGTGATGCTGATGATGAGGTTGGTGTTGTTGTTGGTGAGGATGGTGAGGCTGTTGCTTCTGCTGATGATGATGACGACGATGATAATGATGCTGAGAATGGTAGTGACGATGATGATGATGATGCTGGTAATGATGCTGTTGATGATGATGATGCTGATGATGACGCTGATGATGCTGATGATGATGCTGCTGAGGAGGATGCTGCTGATGATGGTGCTGCTGATGATGAAGATGGTGATGGTGATGCTGATGATGATGTTGATGTTGTTGTTGGTGAGGATGGTGAGGCTGTTGCTGCTGCTGAAGATGATGACGACGATGAGAATGATGCTGAGAATGGTAATGACGATGATGATGATGATGATGATGATGATGATGGTGATTATGCTGGTAATGATAATGCTGATGATGATGACGCTGACGATGACGCTGTTGATGATGATGATGATCTGCTGCTGATGATGATGTTGATGACGCTGATCTTCATAAGGAAGAAGAAGGTGTTGATGATGACGATGATGGCGATGAAGATGCTGATGATGATGATGATGCTGATGATGATGCTGATGATGATGATGATGATGCTGATGATGATGATGATGATGATGATGATGATGATGATGATGATGATGATGATGATGATGATGATGATGATCAGGAGGAGGAGGATTACGAGGAGGTGTGGCAGAAATGATGAGGAGGAGACGCAATAAAGAGAGGGTCAGGTCGGCGGCTCAGCGATGGGCACCTCGGTCTGGTCAGTGAGGCCGCCTTGCTGGCCAAGTGGCTTCGCCTGGCGTTTCATTGGTTTCTGCTGCTCTCCCTCACTGCCTGCTGCCTCATAATCTGCTTCCCCTTCTCCTCCTCACAATGAGGACCCTCGCAGGGGATTTCTCCACGCCGCTTCAATGGGGACAGAGCAGATGCGGTTGGAGGATCGTTCCGCATCGGCGATGCGACGCGATCCTCCGACCCAGCGACTTCCACCCCATTTGAGCGGCCCCTGGAGTTCCCTGGAGGTCTCCAGAGATCCCGTGTCTCTGGAGGTCCCTGGAGAAATCTAGAGGTCCCCTGGCGGCCTCTGGAGGCCTCTAGAGGCTTGCGAGGGCCCAAAAAGGGGCAACAGTGTACAGCCATCTCTGCCCTCCTCCCTTGTTCCTCCTTCCTCTTTCCTTATCTCCCTAGCCCTCTCCCTCTGTCTCTGTCTCTGTCTCTGTCACTTTGTCTCTGTCTCTGTCTCCGTCCCTGCCTCTGCCTCTATGTCTGTGTCTGCCTCTCTCACTCTCTCTTTCTCTCTCTTTATTCCGTTATTTCCCTCTGTCTCTCTCTCTCTCTCTCTCGGTCTTGCACCGAGGTTCGGCTGCGGCCGACGGGCGAAACTCCTGGGACTGGATGAGGTGCACAATACATGTTTGGCCAGGCATCGCTTCGGACTTGGCTCCCCAGTGTTCCCGCGCCCTGCCGTGGACGCGGGCATCCTTCTCCCCCATCTGCCTCCTCCACCTCTTACGCCTCCTTCCTCTCCTCCCTTCTCCGCCCTCCTCCTCCCCTTCCGTCTCCTCCTTTTCCTCCTCTTCCCACCACTCCTCCTCCGCCTGGTCCTCCTCCTCCTCCTGCTCCTCCTTCTCCTCTTCCTCGTCCTCCTCCTCTCTTCCGCCTTCCTGTTCCTCGTTTCCTCCTCCTCCTCCTCCTCCTCTGTCCCGCCTTCGCTTTTCCTCCTCCTCTTACTGCTCCTCCTCCCTCCCTCCCCCCTCCTGCTGCTCCTCCTCCCTCTCCCCCCTCTCCTGCTCTTCTCTCCTCCTCTTCCTCCTGCTGCTCCCTCTCCTTCTCCTAGTATCAATTTTTATCTGCATCATCCTCCCTCTCCTTCGCAATCCCGTTTTCTGAGTGTAACCCTTTCGCCTCACCGCAATCTGGTTTCCTTCATATCGAAGACGCCTGCGGCGAATCACCGCCGCTCCGTGCCTTTTTGGAAGCGCCGTGATGATGCAGCAGGCTTTCGACCAGTTGGATGTGCAGGTCTTGGAACTAGGCGCCGAGTGGAAGAAACTCTTTCTCGAGGAAGGGGTCGTCCTCGAGGGTGCCAGGCACCAGATGCTGCGTGCCATGGCGCGCGGCGACTCGCACTTCTCGGCGTTCTGGACGGCCATCGAGGAGATAATACTTCACCAGGAACGAGTTCCTCTCTGGATCGACAAGGAAGTCCTTCCTGGAGGCGCCGCCCGAG